CCCCCCAACAGATAACAGGCATCTTAGCCCTGCTCCGGTCTGAAAGAGGCATGAAGGTGGACTCTCTAGATAGAATGATAATTATAATATTATTAATAACAAATAAATGATTTTTATTTAACGCCTGTCTGGGCTGTTTGTGTTTGTGGACTCATTCAAGTCAAAGAGCTTTGCAGAGATACAGAAATTAATTTAAATGAGAAAAAAAACATCCATTTACATGTGCGATTGGACAGAAAAGGGATTCAAAGCAGCTAAATGCATTTTCGGCTGCCCTGGATGTTCTGGGAAAACCAAATAAAAAGAGCCTGAAGGAGTCTCTGAATCGGCCCTGAACACAACATCTCCATCCATCAAACCCCATTCAAAGGTTACTAAACTGGGGTTTAGTCTCTGGATTCAAGCTGAACTCTCTGTCTGTTTTGTTTCCAAACCGAACGATTTCTTTCTGATAAGTTTAGTTATTTGTTTTTTATTTGTCTCCACGTCTTTGGTGTACAAAAATCAGCTGGTTCCTGTGTCACAACGATGCTTTTGGACTTTTAATCAGGCATTTAAATGCCCCCAAAAGTTTTTCCACTCAGAACTGAGAACTCGTTTTTTTTTTTTAATTGACCTCTAATTCTGGAAAAGAGGAAATTATACATCAGTGAGTTGCACAAAAGGAGAAAAAATGTCATATTTAGTTATTATTTCCCCAAAAACAGCAAAATCTCTGAGCTGAGAGGAGAAATTAGTTTAAGTTTTGATACACACAGACACCCAGAGTGGATTTAAAGCTCAGACAGAGCACAACTGGAAGAGGAATGAATTTAAACATGGTGGTTTCAGATGGACGGCAGCCGTCCGTGTCCACTGAGGAGCTGCATCAGGCCCCAAGCCGGTTCCAGGTGGCCTGGTCCAGGAGCCGGTTCCAGGTGGCCGGTTCCGGCTCTGACGGATCGTCTTCCTGCCTGAGCAGAAACCGGAGCTCCGGCTTCCTGCTCGACAACCTGAGTCCTCGCTGGCTTTTGGCTGCACGCCGAAGCCTCCGAACGCACCATGAAACATTCAGGCCGCGCTGAGAGGCACGTGATTATTCTGATGGCTGGTATGAACATCATCACTGTTGTGAAACACCCGAACTGGGGTTGGTTCAGGTTTTTTTCCTTGTTTCAGGTACACACAAACATCGGATGCACAGCTTTGACTTTGGTTACTGTTTCCTTTAATGTAGAAACTCAACACTGAACGCAAAACAAAGACGGACCGGCTGCTTTCGGCTCCTGAACGCCTCATTTCAGCCTCATGGTTGATCCTTTTAACACGATTAGAAGCCCGTAAAACACGGCAAACACGCTGGTTTATTCAGTCCAAAAGCAAGGTGGGGCCTCAAAGAAGCAAATGAGCAACACACACACCCACACACACACACACACACACACACACACACACACACTCACACACACACACACCCACACACACACACACACACACACACACACACACAGCAGTCCGAACACGTTCACAGCTTGAGGTGCTTTCTTTCTCAGAGGAGCTCCGACAGACCCGGAGGCCCAAAGCGGGTCACAGCTCCTGGTCCGGTTCCGACGGGCTGAGTGGGTCCGGCCGGGGCTGCCGGCGCCCCCCCACCAGAACCGGGCCGGCCGGGGGGGGCGGCGGCGGCGTCCAGCCGCCTCTTCTGGGTCAGCTGATGCGCTTCAGGTTGCGTTTGTGCCTCAGGCAGCCCGGGACGCACCTCCTGTCCGGGGAGGCCGGCGAGGCCGGGGAGGCCGACCCCTGTTTCCTGAGAGAAACCAGAGCAGGAAGTCTGAATTATTCAGGGCTGAATTGGGCCGGTTTCTGAGGATTGGAGCTTTTTCTGGCTGAACTGTGTCCCTGAACTGGACTCCTGCGGAGCAAACTGGATGCTGTAAATACCTCCTGAGTGAGCGTGTGGCCATTCATTATTCACCAGCTCCTGCCCGATTACAGCTGAGGTTAGACATGAATGGATGGATTACTCACCAGTTCAGTCATTAGTGAAACTAACACCAGTCATCTGTGATTCCTTTTGTGCTCTTTAATAACTTAGACTGACCCCCTTAGTGCCCACAAAATGTCCTTTTCAGCTGTCTGGCTCTCTGACGCCCTCTGAGTTTTTAATCTGGATATTTTCTACTATTTCTCTCTTTTTAGTCCTTATATCTGAGCATTTTCAGAGGAATGTGTCTTGTCTTTGTTAAGCCACTAAACTCTGAGTTATTCAGGTATAAAAAGGCCCCTAACTCAAGGGCTGAGACAGCGTTGTGTCCAATCAGCAGAGCAGCAATTTAAAGTGGATCTTTAGGCTGTTTGTCAGCAGCAGCCTGTCACAGAGACACGTCATTTTTTCCATATCTGTAGCTGATGGGAAAAAGGCCAAAGAAAACCCAATCTTGTGTTATTGACAGTTTAACAGACAGGAAACAGGATTTCTGAGGATTCCCAAAGAGTTGCTGGCAGAAAAGTGGGCAGATCTCAGCCTGGTGAGCAGTGAGTCCTTACAACATCTGAGGAAACTGGACCAGTGGAGGACAGAAGAAGAAGAGCTGGGCCTGAAAAACTCTCTAATCCAGCAGATGAAGAGGACCCGAAAGTGAGGTCCTTCAGAAAGAGGAGCAGATCCAGCAGAGAGCTGAACAGGAGCTGAGAGCTGCATCTGGACCTCCAGCTGACCATCTCCTGGTGGCTTCATCAGAAATGCTCTCCATGAATGGGGGCTGTCCAGAGGCCCCTCTAAAAGAAGGAAACAGGGAGGAAAGGCGTGGTTCTGCCAGAGGAACCAGAAGTGGACTGAACCCCAGCTCTGATGGAGGGATGGATCCTCCCCAGAAGGCAAAGAAGAGCTTTGGGACGTCCTTCCAGAAGCTGGAGAGCTGCTCCTGGAGACTCCTTAAAGAAAGGAGCTCCTGGAGAGGCTTCAGGCTGGGGGGGGGGGGAGGTTCTGCTCACCTGGCAGCAGCAGCTGCTGCAGCCTCCCGGTTCCTGACCTGTTTCATCACCTTCAGCATGCGGCAGATCTGCCGCAGCGTCATCTTGGGGGCGTGGCACGCCAGGCGGGGCCGCGGGGCGCACCGAGGGCCCCGGTAGGTAAAGAGCGACAGGTAGGCGCCGCCCACGGGGCCCCGGCCCGCATAGCAGGAGGCAAACTGCAGGACACACAGAAGGATTCTGTCAGGTGGTTTAATCTCAGAGTATTTAGTCAGTTTGCAGCTTTAGGAGCAAAACTCTGAGCCCTCTGATCCAAAGAGGGAACTCAAGCTGAAACCATTAGTCAAACATGCAATTAAGCTTCGATATGTCCACTTTCCAGGTTTTCTGACAGGATTTAGATTGAAAACGTGCAGAGAGACTAGAAATGGTTCATGGCAGCCTCACTGACTTTGACTGACATTTTAACACTGAACTGAGTTACTGTGCATCTTTTAAATTTACTCAATATTACTACTTATCCTCCTAGAAGAATTACTAAAGAATGAAAGGTTAAAAAATCATTTGAAGAATTTGAAAAAAACACAAAGAATACTGGAAGCAATAATAAAGCCACAAAATGATTACGTCCATCTTCTCTCTTACTCTTTAGGTCTTAAAGTTCCCACCTAGAACTGATTAGAATCTGTTCTATTCCATCTCATCTAAATTAGATAAAATAGAACAGATTCTAATCAGATTGAACAGAAACATTCAAATAAACGGTTCAAGTATTAAAATAGATCAAGTAACAGGCAAAAAAATAGAGTTTAGAAGGTTTATTTAAGATTGAATAAAAGCCACGCGTTAAATTTTCTTTTGAATTCTTGTTTTGACCCCCTGGGGGGGAGCAGTGATGCATTGTGGGAAAAGGTGTTAACTATCTGCACGCCGTTCTGGATCAGCGGGACACAATCAGCAGTGCACGCTCCGGATGCACGCGTCTTTTTCAATTGTGTCTCTCTCACGTGTGCGGATTCATTTACAGCTCTCTGACACGCGAGCTCAGGCGCAGTTTATTCTGTCACCTGTTTTCCGAGCAAATGAAAGGTCTCTGATAGTTTAAAGGTCCCTTTTCCACAGGGAGAAGGTGAGATGCGCTGTTTTCAGACGGAATATCACAGAAAAATCCTTCAATGATCCCACAGACATCCGCGTGTTGCAGCAGAGCAAGAAAACAGCAAAAAAACAAAGAATATAAACACATAAACAGGAATAAAAACCCTATAAGAGTAATAGAAAATAGATGAGTAGACTTTTTGATTAAAATGTACAAAGTATAAATATTTCTATACGACTGTTTAATATTGTAGCTGAGTGGACAGATGTTTCCAGGAATATATATAAATCTGCTTATTAAATCTGTTCTCAAATAAGAAAAAACATCTTTACTTCCACCCTTTTTCAGCTGTTTCTGTTTCGGCGGTCATAATTCACTATAAACAAAGGTCAGCCTGTGAAATCTGTAATGTTCTTATCAACAGAACCACTAAATCCTGCTTTGATAGCATTACAACATCTTTTAGAATTGTATTTATCAAGGTGCAATCATTTCTACAGCTGCTTTTGTACACTTCTACAAACATCAGTCCAGAGAACCACGAGTCGCACAGACAGAACCAGCCGGGACTTAAACCAGAAACCTTCTGGTTGTAGAAATAAAAACAGGAAATACTCCGCTCCTCTCACCCCTCATGGGGGAAATTCATACCGTATTGTTTCTCAGAATTGATGTGTTTACAATCATGGTTATTAGAAAAAAAACAGAGATCGATCTAGATTGATAGTTAATAAATATATTACATTTATATCACCAAATCAATTTTTGTGAAAAAATAAGCTTTATCTGTGAAATATCTTTTTCCAGTTTAAATCCACCACAAAGCCAAAAGCCCGTTTAGTCGGGTTTGGGATTGAGAAACACACAGAGATACTCACAGGAACAACGGTGGCCATGGACGAGTTCCCTCCTGTAAAGAAACCCCCCCACCAGGTGAGCTGGCCTCTTATAGCACCGGGCCCCCCCCCGATTGGCCAATGGCTGCCCAGAGTTTGTCCTCCCAGTTGGCAGCGCCTGGGTGAGCTCGCACCCTCCGACTCCGGTTACACAAACAGCAACATGGTCTATTATTGAGGAGCCCTTTGTCCTGCAGGGCCTATTTTTATATATATATTTATATATATATATAGTCCTGGGAACAGGCTATAGAGAGGATTTGATCCGCCACCTCCTGTGCTCGTCTTGGACTCATTCAATCTGAGGTCATATATGGGCCCATTTCTCCAAAGTACAGATCACCTGTCCTGCATCCTGAGGATATATGTCCAAATGTCATGGCTCCCCGTCTGATCTAAAATGCTTCTGGGTGGGTTATTTTAATATTATGTCCTCTATTCTTGGGGTAAAACTTGTTGTATTTAGGGTTCCTGACACCTCACTTGTGCTTAACCCCACACAAAAGGACATTATAGCGTTCACATCTTTAATTACTGTTATATTAGCAGTGCGCTAAGTGCCCTTCCATTGCCTGGTGGCTCAAAGATGATTGTTTTTTTTAAACTTCAGAAAATTAAATACTCAGGTGACGATCCTGAACAAAGAGAGGCACCGGACCGTTTAAGGTTGTCACTCATCACAAAGTCGCTCATCGGTGTGACGGAAAGCAACAACAGATGCTGTGATACACGATCACTTTGATGAGGTTTTATACTCTGGAGTGACAGGAAACGGGAGGGGGGCCGAACACAAGCGTCCACCAGACCTGAGGCTTTTACTCACACATGTTTATGCAGAAAAAAACAGGAAAAGGGACGTTTTGGCATCTTTTTGCATTTCCGGAGTGCTGTGATGGCTCTGTTGATCATTTCTGGGAGGCATTCACATATGAATGACACGAAAGAGACCTATTTAAGACACCTAAATCACACGGCTTTCAAATATTTGTTATGAATGTGGTGGAATCGAGCAAATATCGGGAGGATCGACCATTTTTAACCTTTAAAATAGCTCAAATAAAACAGGTGAAAGACATTTTTGTCTCTGTAGATGCAAAACTGGACAATGCATAACCCACCGTAATGCTGGTGTACCATTAATCACAGCATTTAAACATTTTGTCTGTGTTTATGTCATTAAATAACGTCAGTAACATTGACCTTAAACAGAACCGTGATGAACAGTAAGGTCAAAGGTCAAAGATTGTTATGAGGATTCAAATACATCAGCAAGAAAGAGGAGGGAAATGGTTTTGCATTGTGTAAACTACAGAAACAACATTTTAATGAGAAGGTTTCGAGTAAAGAAGAAGTGGCGCCACAATAAAGTTAATGTTTCCAACAGTCGCTGCTATAATTCTTTAGAAGTAGCTTATTTTCATGAACTAAACAAAGGGTTGTTTTATAAAAAGGTCCAGGTCATCCCAGGTTAACACGGGATTCATTTATAACTTTTTCCTTAATTCCATTATATATTTATTTAATTATATATCTCATGGATAAACCTAAATGTCTGATTTTCCGCCCCGAAACAGTGACATCACGCTCAACACTGCCCCCTATTGGTTTGCTCCCTTCTGTGAGGTAAACAGGTACCAGGCACCTGTGAACCTGTCAAACTTTTTTAGAGCAGTTTTTTATTCGTCTTTTATTTGTCTTTTATTTTCATATTTATTTAACCTCTTTACATTTTGTTCATAGTCAAAAAGCATTGTTTGTGTCCAGAGTGAGAGTGCGAAAAATTTGACAATAAATCAGTGAAACAGAGTTTCAAAAATAAGTTTCATGTCTTTTTATTGACATTTTAAACATTTGAATGTATAATATCCCAACAACAAAAAGAGCATGTATTCATTTTTTAACATTATATGAAAAAAAACAAAAACAAACCAAAAAAAGACAAAGTATGGAGCTGAAATGAATTGAACCTCAAACAAAAATAGTTTGGAACAGCATAACCATGACTTTCTGCCGTTTGGAAAATGTTAAGAAAAGCAATAAAAGCTATAAAATTATATCTCTTGTCTTGGGATGTTGTTCTCTTCTAGGACTCAACTCAATGCACATTTTTTTCAGAATAATAGTTATGACAATACCAGTGGCTTCATACTTCCAGGAATATGAACTCCACTTAAAGTAAATCTTTAAAAATAATAATAGTAATGA